AAAAAAAACTTTATTAAATTAATTGAAATATTATCTATTAGTAGATACTATCCAAAAGTATTTCCTGGTGAATTGTGTCAATTAAATCGATTTGTCGTAATTTTTATGAAAAGAAAAAAAACCTGAAGAACAGAAAGGACGGAAAGTGCGTCAAAATTGATTATTTCTTTTGCAGGCTTTAAAATTTCCTCGTCAGATATTTGCGGAATAATGTTGGATTCAGTTGGCCCATATATGGAATGTCGTCGGGTGAGATAATCACTAGCCATTCCGGGAGCTCCAACAAGCATCGATGATGCCGGTCGACTGCTTGGTAATATAGTCTGAAGAAATTCTCCGCTGATGGAAATTTAAAAATTCCCGAAATTTCAATTCGTCTAGAAGTGATGCATTGATAAAACAGTTACATAGCTCATTGTTACAGTCCTCATTTTTTTGTTTAATAAAATTTTATGCAAAAGAAATAATTGGAACTTGTTTGTTTGTCACTCATTCTCTGTTTGGAAAAATCAGTTTGAAATGATTTGATTTTGCAAATTTCTTTTAAACATTAGGAAGCTTGGAAAATTTTCAAATAGCTCTATCGGATTTTACATCAAGCCATTTTTTTATGCTGAAAAATTTTTTAATTGAACTAATAAAAAACATTAAAGGATAGAGCCATAGTTTTTAAGATTAATTTTACGGCAAAATTTTAACTTTTAGGATAGGTTATCTGAATGAAAAATATTTCGAAATATTTAAAAATGAGCTCGAAATGTTTGGAGAAATAAATAAAAGAAGTGAAAATATTAAAATGAAATATGTAAAAACACTTCACTTATTTCATTTAAAAGTCATAAATGGAACTAAAAAAGATCATTAGTAGTATATCAGCAGAATTGAACTTATAATATTTGAATTCTAAATTTAATAAAATTTTACTTTTGATTATTTCCAATCCGAATTTTTATAAATTTTAAGTGAAAAAAAGATTTAACGTAAACTGAAATGATATAAAATTATGGCAAGGAAATAAATATAGAAGTTTGATGTTACAACTAAAATACTCAATATCAGAACTTTTTAGTTAAATATCTCAAGGTAATCAATTCATGTTTTCTCGGGCCTTAAACCTTAATCAAGATTGCGGAATACCTTTCAATTTCTATGTAATGGAAAGCTTTTTGGATTCAAAATATAACTGATGATGTTAGAAACCTGTTTGCTAATATCATTTAATAAATTAAAATTTCTTAGAAAGAGTAGAAAGATAAGCCAAAAAAAATCAAAGTAAGTAAAAAATTTAAATAAACTTTTTTTACTACACGAAAAAATATTCAAAATGATATAAACCTGTTTGTTAGTTAGAGTAGGACTAATTGATGGTTGAATCTGTGAAGTGTGGGGACCGTATAATTGATTAATTTGTTTAGCCATTTGACTAATTTCATTGCCGTAATTTGAATGTTGATCGAAATCGATTTGTTCCGGCCGTGGAAGTGTACAATAACTTTGATATCTCGAAGGTACATTACCAATATTATCGCAAAAGGAAACAGCGCCTAAAAAAATAATGAAAAATACAACAATCATTTAACATGAGACTAACAATTAAGTGTCACTAATCAACTTGTTTCAATTTAAATCTAAATTAAACTTAATTTTGAATTTTTCTTCAAAAAATAAACATTTAAATTTTTGAATTTTTTAACTTCTTGCTTGGATATTATGGCTCCATGAATCATTTACCAAATTTAATTATTTCATATATCATTTACTTTCATTTACTGATAACAAATGAATGAGTGCAGGTAAATGAGGGAAAAAAAATCAGATGAGATCATAAATCAAAATTAATTCAATGAATAATTGAATGTTTTGATTAGTAAATTTTCATTGATTTCATCCTCAATCGCAAATCAGTAAGGAATTTCTCATTGTCTATTTTACCATAACATAGTTAATAAAAAGATGCAGAATTAAAAGCAATAAAGATAATAAAAAATAACGTGAACAATATTTGATTGAAATTTGTAAATTATTTTATTATCTCAGGTGTAGCATTGACATTTCATACCTATTCCTAAATCACTATTCGCTCTTGAAGCGGGTCGAGATAAGGTAGGCATATTCATTGCACTAGCCGGACGGTATGGTCCCGATGGCGGTGGCGGAATTATTCCGGATTGCGATCCACTCCATATGCCTTTCGATTCCGGACGTGGTATAGCACTGGTAGCTGCATGAATTGATAATCAGATTATTCAAGAACAAAATTTCCAGCTGTATTTGTTGTTTTCATAGTAATTTCAATATTAGCAATAGTATATTTACTTTCATTCAAACATTTTCCATCATTACCTTTGCATTAATTGATAATACTTCAGTGTAGAACTTAATTATTATTATGAGTAATTGGTAAGTTATGTTATTATTGATAGATAAAGATTTGATCTAATTTTCTTCCCAAAGACAGTTCGCCTTGAAAATATATGATTTATCACTGACAGATTTTTTTTAAAAAAAAAAACAGAAAAGACGATAAATGAATTTGATTTATTAAATTTAAAATTTTCAGCGTAAAAATCAAAATTAATAATTTCACAAAAACACAAGAAATATCCTACCATATAAGCCATTGTTGTGATGTGCCCTCAATGTTCCTTGCATACTGGACACTGTCCGCGGATAGCCCGGAAAAGCTGGAATTATTATTGCATTCTATTGCTAGAATAATTTGATATTTTTAAAATTGTAATCCTAAGAAAAAAATTCTTAGCTGCAAGAATTTCAAAGCATACTTTATAAATTGATTACTTCCAAAGTTAAAAAAAATATTTAGAAAGAAAAGCGAAATATCGACCTGATTGCTGTTGGGTACCATAAATTTGTGATAAATCGTCGTTTAACTGTGTATTCAAGTTAGCATCGTGCAATACATTCATTAATGTTTTCTTAGTTAATGTACCGGATTTGAATGGCGTGTACGGAAAGGGTTGTTTCAGATCTTCACGCTAAAATATCAGAATTAAACAATCGAAAAAGACTGATAACGAATGATACATATGTACATAGGAAAAGGTGATAAAATAGTTTCAGTTTTAAGTATTTTTCAATTATTCCCATTGAAATAATTTCAATTTTCATATAAAGTAAGTTGAAAGAAAAGAGTTACTAGACAGAAAATTATTACTTCTAAGCGCTTTTTTAATGGAATTCTTTGGGCTTTTTTGATATTTAATACTTCTTTTGTACATTTCTAATAATAAATACTATCAATTCTGTTTTAATCATCAGTTTGATAGCCAATTAAGCAAATCACTTCCTTAACTTTCCTTTCTTTTCAGAGATTGATCGATTGAATTATTCGCGGTGCTACCACGGAAAAATTTATCAGTTGCTTCATTATTTTTCTTTCTTTAATATTAACCAATCCTATCATTATCATAGCTTTGGATTTTATCATATTAAGTGCTTTATCATTTCATATTCTTTTATCAATTGATATAATTATATTGATATAATTATTGATATAATATAATTATATTCCACTGAGGTTCACTTCACGTACTCATTAACTTTGTTTTGATCGCACGCACAACATATAATTATTCTCGTGTTATGTTAACGTTTGATGTTTTACGTTAATGTTTAATGCAAAAATTACATATTTTTTCATAAGGAATTCAAAAGAAACGTACACTTTCTTGCATTTGTTTCGACCAAACCTCACTAATTCCATGTTTTTTCTTCGGTAAGAATTGCCGACTGACAGTTGATTCAGGTCGTTTCGGTGTTTGCTCATCATTTTTAATGAAACCTGTCGACCAAAATTGATTCCTAATTCCCTTTCCTGCTTTTGGCTCTTTTAAAGTTGTTTCCGGTGTTGTTGTCGGTATAACTTTTAAGCCCATTACTGCGATACTTTCATCTGTAGAATGTAATATCTTTTTCTTTTTAGAAACTAATCATTCTAATAGGCATGAAAATTATGTACAGTAAGAAGAAATACATTATCGATTTTATAATGTTTACTACAGCAACTCCCAGAGCAAAAGCAATAATTATAATTCTTCTAATCTTAAAAAAAATTATGAAAGTAGCAGTGGTGGTGCTTATCTCTAAAAAAGATGATGATTAGTTGAACTGCATGATAATTGTTAACATTTGCAACATTAATATGAGAAGTTGCAAGACAAATTGATATTATCTTAATCTAGTAGTTTTTTTTTTAGACTTAAAATTTCATTTATTTAGATGAGAAATAATACTTCTACCAATTACTAATTTATTTGTCAATTTAAAATAATAGTTAATTATTTTTTTTGCACTACATTAATCCAAATTATTGATTCCACAAGATGATTGCAATGGAAAGCACTTTTTTTTAAAATTTCAGAGATATAACAATAATAAACAGAAAATTGGTAATTAGTTATTAGTTTTGTTATATTATTATAATTCGCATTATCACTTACTTCCTAAATTTCGAAAATGGTATCATATTCGAGCATGCATAAGAACAGCTGAAATATACATCGAATAAAAATAAAAATCATTTTTTAATCAACATTTCATCTCGAGAATGAACTGAACCGATGATTTAAATATAATCTGTTAACATTTTTTAATATAATTTTCATGAACTCTGTTAACATTTTTACTTTATTTTTCCACATTTTCTATAATTATTACATATTTTAATTACTCATCTTACTTCTGAAATAGCTAATATTGTTGAGAAGATCATATCAAAAACCACATTTCTTCATTAATTCAGGTCATTTGCCATAAGAAATGGAAAACTGAATGAATGCTTGGAGAAAAAACTGGTAGAGATATTAAAACGGAACAATATTTATTCGCCTTGAAGAGAAGACACTTTCAAGGTGGTTTTTTTTTCTGAAACTACCTTGAAATTCCAACATCGAAATGTGTAAATGAACGAAAGTAATGAAATATCAGAAGATGATCGAGAACAATATGTACATCAACAGTGATAAGAGGTTACGAAAGATTACACCGCTACTTCTATTCAATTTTTTTTATATATATTTTTTTCATAACATTTTTAACACTAAATTTTTTTTTTTATAACACTAAAATGTGCATAAAATATTCGGAAGAATTTTACCAGATAATTCAATAGCACTTCAAAATGACATGTAAACAGGAAAAATACAGGTAATTGCAAACTTGTAATGTAAAAATAATTTAAACTTCAAAACTGTGTAATTTTAATTATCAGTTATCATCAATTTCTCACTTGTTGACCTAAAGATTTTGCTAAGTTGAATGGACAATTAATAAATTAGGAGTTTGAAAATTGATCCATCTAAATTTTAACAAAAGTTAATGTATAATATGTGAGAATTTGTTTGAACAAAATATATTACATTAAAATATTGCATTTAGATCATATAGATTAATTAATTAAGAAACTTGAGTTACAATTTGAATTGATATTCAAATTTTACTAGATCACTGATAAATGAGAAAGATTTTAAGATTAAAGAAGGTGAAGATATTTTGGAAGGAATAGAGCAGTTTGAAAATAATCGGATGCCAGATTATCATGACAATATTGGGTTATCAGAACGCATCGTTGAGATTTTTGCGAAACGGTTTCGAAATTTTCGTCACGAATTATTCTGTAGTGCATTTTTATTGTTCCCCTTATTAACATTAAATTTTCTCTTTACAAGAATTAACTAATTTACACAGTTACTAAATTGGGATCAATTTTTTTTTCATAGCTTTTAGAAAATTCATTTAGCAATTAATGGGATATTAAATTTATAAAATTGCATTATTCTTTCTTGAATTGACATTCAATTTTAAAAAAAGAAAAGTATTTCATTTTTCAAAAGATATTTTTTAAGCGAAATAAATATTTTAATTAATGAGGGGGAATTTCTTTGGACAATTTACTTTGCTTTATCAGAAGTTATCAAAACGCCTAACTTTTTAGTTACTTATCTTTACTATTCAACCAATTATTGGTCAGGAATATTTCCGAACTTCTAAGTTTGCGATGAAAAAAATAAGTATTTTTAATTTTTATAAAGTAAATGTGTCTTAAAAAATAAAGATGGACTTTGAAAGCAAACAAAAAATATCAGAAATATTTTTTTGTTCTCTTTCAAACTTACTTACATCTCTATCAACTTTGGAGCATAATGTTGACGAGTAATAATATCACTATCCGAAATGTCTTTAATGATTTGCCTGAGGTTATTTCAGTATACTATCTGAGATTATTTAGTAATGTTTAACCAATAAGTTAAAATGAAAAAAAAAGTTGAAAAAATAAAAAATTCTTAAAATCGATTCCTAAGAAAATAAATAATCGAACAAAATTTTTGAGCAGTACTCCAATTAATAATTTTTTAACAAAAAAATTCAAACAAACAATTATAAACAAAAAAAACTGCTAAAAACACCATTCATACTTGAAATCATTCATAAAAATGCAAATCACTTACGCTACTTTTGCATAAGTGATTTGCATTTTTACGTTGTATCAATACTCATTAGACACTTCCATTTAAAAAAAAAAATCATGGAGCAAAAGATAAGTTTAAAAAAAACTTTTTTAAAAGTTTTTAATAAAAATCTAACAATAAGTCCAGTTGAACAACAAAATTAAAAACCACAAAGAACAAAAGTAAAAAACTACTGAAGCAATTGGAAAATGATTTTTTTTATTTATGTAAAACACACTACATATAAAAATAAAATTTTTAAAACATCAACCAAAGCCAAATATAACTTAATTATAAATAAAAAACAGAAATAGAAATATGTTATATTAATACTGATTAGAAATATTACTAATTTCGTTAAAATAAAGAATATCCAACTTTAATATTCATAAACTACGACAAAATCCTTCGCTAATATGCATACCAAAAAATAAATTTAAAAAAATTAAATTTTTAAATCTTTTAAAGCAGAACTAAACATTTTAAATTAAAACTAAAAGATTAACCTGACAAATAATTTAAAGACTACCTCATTCAATATTCCAAAGTAGACCTACGACTGGTACCACAAATCTTAGAACGCTATAAAATTAATTCGAATTTTAAATCATATATGTCCCTATCGTAGCTTCTAAAAATCGACCGAAGTAAATTCTTCTTCCTATACAAACAATAAAATAATATTCTATCATCCCTGATGAAGAATGAAAGTACATCTCAACTGATAATCGATTTGCTTATATTTAAAAAATTAAAATTTTTCCAATTTAATTAATGCTGCTGTAAAGCCCAAATTCAAAAATTACCACTGTATGGCTTCAAATTTTGTGAAATGATAGACAAGTCAAAATGAACTATTTGATAAAGTAGTAGTAAATATTTTACCTGCAAAACAATTAATAAAGTAAATAATTTCCAATAATTATTTTCTTTAAATTTAATTTTTAAAGAAAAAAAAGTGATATCTCGTTTGCTTATGAATGAATGACAAATTCATCTTTTCACAGTCAATGAATACATAAATGATATGTTGATATTATGAATTTCAATGGATATGAAAGGAAGAATTGAGCGGTCAGGAATGGCTGTTAAAAAATTAACTTTGATAGGGCAAAGTTGAAATGAATCGAATTGAATTGAAATGAAATGTTTGACTGAAATACACAACACAAACAACATATGTTCGGTGTATTTATGAGAGAGAGAGAGAGAGCGCGCACAGTGCGAAATGAACCGTTTTATTGACCTGAATTTCTATCCGTCAGTGGAGGTGCATCGGAAAATTCGTATCAGTGATAAAATTTGAGTTCATGTTAATTCATCAGGGAGCAATGGTAGTGGAGGATGATAACTGTGATGATAATAACGATGTGAATGACGAAGATAATGATGACCTCGAAGGAATTAACTACTTTTCCATCGTCATATCAAGGACCTTACAAATATATATCACAGAACTATCAACTTTATTTCCGTCAAAATCATACAAAATGAAGTTATACATTCGTTTAGTATAATTCTTATCAACTTTTAGCATTTTGCATAAATTTTGATAATTCATTCAAATTTATATAAAATTAAATATTTCATATCAGTTGTGTATTGATTTGACTGTAAATTCTGGTGACCAGAACTGTTATCATTATAAAAAGCATTAATATTAAATATTTTTTACTGATTTATTTTAATTAAATATTACTAATTACTGATAGTCATGAAATAGAATTTCTATAGGTCAATGATTGTTAATGTATATTAAAATGTTTAATAACCATGGATGATAATATATTTTAATCTTCTTTCGTTCATCATGCGATTATAGAACTGGTGATGAACAGTGGTACTGTAATACATATTTCAACTTCATATTACTTTCCACTGTTGCAATTGTCGTATGAAATAATGTCTGCGGTTTTTTCTGCACATGCAACACTTCTCATTTATATTTAATTCAAAAATTTTTAATCAAAAAAAATTTTATGAATAAAAATATTATTATAACTCATTTTTCAACTTATCAATCATTGCTCATTAAAATTATAAAGCTTATTTGTTTATCTTTGAAAATGTGCAAAACGATTTATGAAAGAATAAATAAAAGCATACAGCATGCACAATAAGGCCATTAATCAAATTTTATAAAAAAAAAACAAGAAAATATTTGAAAATTATTATTTACATTACACGCCAAAAATGGCAAGTAATTCATATTTGCTTTAGAACTCACGCATAAGTACATGCATAAACGCATAAACAACAAGCATGTGAAATAAAATTATTTGAAATAAAAAGTAGCAAAGAATTAAGCCATCCAGTAATTACTAACTAATTAGGCATAAATATACTCATTATTTTTATACTTCGAAGTAATATGTTCTTTGTTACTGAATGAATATTGCTACAATTTAGAAAAAATAAAATAAACGAAATAAATTGTTTCGAGCATATTCTCTAAATATGAGATGATAAGGCTGGCGAAAAAAACTTGTAATTCTCTATCAATGGATAATGCAAAAGTTAGACGATAATGTTTATTTAGAAATGTTAGCAAAAATTCCATATTGCTATAAAATTTTGAAGTTTTTATTATGAGTACAGTTCATATATTAAGCAATAATAAAATATGGAAAATTATGCAAAAAAAAAAATTATATTAAAGCTATGTAATTTTTGGTTGCTTGCTGAAAGGTGATGGAAAACGAAAAATTTTTTTACTGCCTCAGTAAACTTTTTTGCCGTTTGTATTCATCTATTATTTGATTTAAGCTAACAAGATATCATCAAAAGCAAGAAACTAAGTAAGAAAATCCAACAAAAAAAATTCGAGCTTTAATTTGAAGAGATATTTCTATTTCAGATTTCTACTTCAAAAGAAGAGAATTTTAAATTCGAACAGTAATTTCCATCCAATAATACTCCAAAATTGTCGTACCATTGAATTAATCACATATTTATTGACCGTTGAATGAGTCACACATTTATTTTTAATTTCACAACAAGCATCTGGCAGTATTTGATAATTTCTCACTGCAGTCACATGCATTCATTTTAAGTAACAGAAGGAAAGAAGTTAAAGTAATTGATTTAATTTGTCCATTTATTTGTGAGAAATTTGAAACCTTCTAAATATCATTTAATTGATAATAGAGGAAATAACTGAATTTTTCTCTTGAGAATTTCAAGAATTTTCACCTTTTTGAAGAATTTTTATAAATTATTAGATAACAATTTAAGGAAATTATCATGCATTCAAATAAAATGATTTTACTTCAAAAAATAGGTGCCAATGTCAAAACTTTAAAAATTATGTGAGCTAAATTTTCAAATATTTACATAATCTCAATTATTCATCATCGAGAAAAGAAATATTTTATGAGATTAAGGGTGGAATTGCATGAATTTTCGATTGAGATTTTGATGTAATGTAACTCATCCAAACTTTTTCCATCTGTTAATTATTACAAAGTGATGAAATTTAATAGTTATACAAACTTTTACTAAATGAAACATAATTGTAAGAACCGGGTGGACCATTTGGTGCTTGAAATTGTTGCATCCTTTGTATGCAATATTCCGCCTGATCCGCATGTAATTCACGACGAATTTCTTCTGCGGTTATATACGGCTGAAAAAAGAATTCATTCATTCATAATGTATATCAATTAATGAAAGTTGGAAGAGTGATCGAAGCGAAATGTTTGGCAATCTTTTCTAATAAACATTTGCAAATATTTCTGTACATTAAAATGCTAACCTTTCCTCCGGCAAGTATTTTAAATGATTCGATCATTTGTTCGACGGTATCTGCATCACCCGTTTCATGTGTCATGAAATCCAAGAAAGCATTAAATGGTACTCTTCCCATACGATTTGGATCCACCACTGACAATATTCTGCTCATATCATGGTCACCCTAATAAAATAAAATATGTAATAAATTTTTAAAAATAATTCTGCAAATTTGGAATAAATAAATGAATTATTTATCACATATGTTATTTATCAAAAATTATTTTATTGTAATTTATTCGTTTAAAAAAACTTAAAACCTCTTTTCCAGGGCGAATATTGTAGCCAATTGAAATAAGGCATGATTTGAGCTGCTCAGGATCGAGTCCTTGTCTATCTTTGTCGAAATGATTGAAGGATGAACGATATTCATTTAGCTGTTCTTCGCTGATTCCTTTACTGTTACACATCAGAATCTTGAAAAATAAATAGATATAAACATAAATTTTCACTTTCGTTAATTCACAAAATTTTATTGCTTCGCCGTAATTTTCAATTAAATTTACTCTTCAGTTGTGGTGAAATTTACACTCACCTGATTTTCACATTCGTTAATTGTTCTGTTGATGGATGTCAACAGTGATTCCCAACCAACACGTAATGATTCCATGGAGTAACGAGCGGCGCGATTTTCAAAGACATAATTCTCTTGCATTTCCTGATTTATTCTTTCCAGCTCTTCCAATTTCGGTTTATAGTTGAATGTCTTTTAAAAGGTCAAGTTATTATTTTATGTGACAAGAAGAAATCACACACGAATTCTTATTTTTTTATGTATGTTATTTCTTTTTAAATCATAAGTTTTCTTTCTTTCATTTTTATTTCTTCTGTTATAAAAGAAGAAAAAATATCTACCGAAATAACTTTAATTAGGTAAAAATAGGTATTTAAGGATTCGTTAATATTAGCAATAAACATGGATGAATTAAAGTATTTAAATAATGAAATTTGAAACACGCATACCTGTTGTTGAATCGATTTTAATTGTGATACAGCATTCTCAAGACTTCCACGTCCACCAAGCCCAATTGATAAAACATGTTCAAGTTGTCGTTCAAGCCATGGGCCAACTGTATTAGCCTTTTCGGCAAATAATTGCCGTAAACGTTCATTATCTAAAAGTAACAAATTTTGGCACTTAAAAACATATTCCTCTTATTTACTATATTCTTAAATCTAAAAAAGGATTAAATATTAATCAATTTCATCTTATTAAGTTAATTAACTGCCACTATCAACAGAGATGTTAGCGTAATAACACAGTAGCGACAATTAATTAATTTTCATACATTTTTTTAATGATCAAAAATGCCTAACTTTGTTGTCGATGACATTCATTTTGCAATTGCGCATCACGTTTTGGTATTGACTGCTGTACTTCTTGCCATTTACGACGAATATCAGCGCCCGATAAATCGGTGTAAGGATTTCGCAGCAATTCTCTGTCCAATCCATGCTGCTCAACTAATTGAGCAATTTCCT